TTTGAAAATTGGTTTCGGTAAAATGGCATAATGTTAAGGATTATTCAGTTGATTCTCTGCTTCTGAAACGTAATCCTCCCTATTCAGAATGACACAACATGAACCTTTGTCACTCTTTTTAATAACAATGCTATCGTCTTTCTTAAGTAAGTTTAACGCTTCCCGTTCCACTCGTGTGAGATTAAGCTTTTCGTGTGTTATGGAAAGGTTCACTGTTTGGCTATTCATACTCGCAAATGCTTTCAATATTTCAGGATGGATGGCGGCCTGAGGGGGTGTCCACGTGGATTTAGGAATAAACATTGTTCTAGCACCACGTGGGGGGTGGTTTCGAAAAAAATATGTGCAGCTAAGATTTCGTTGAAATCGTTCAATGGATGGTTGGAGATAATTCAAGTTAGCTATCTTTGGTGTGGGAATAAACTTAAGTCCACGGTCTAAGATTGAATGCTGAAGGGGTGTGAGAATTTTGCGGCTCAAGTTAACTACAGTTTGGCCTAGCGGTGGCTTCTCGGTATTTTTATCCCCAGTAATTAGTTTAAAGACTTACTCGATGCTTGAAGCTGGTGTTTCCAAAACAAATAGATGCTGTTTGCTGTTTCTGGAGACCAATGAAGATTATCAACTGTTTCGAATTCTTCTTCGTAGGGTGGTAAGATTGTTGCGCTGTTGATACTGGACTCCATCATCATGTTGTTGAGAGTGCTGAGGTTCTGTTGTGCTTTCTTCGAGATTATATTTGAAATGGGTATACATGTGAAGAGGATCTTGGAGTTTGGGAAGGTTTTGTTGGCTGTGGCGATTAATTTCTGGGCTTGGTTAAAGGAGGTCTTTGGTATCTGATCACGGTTGGAAAACGTGTAGAGACGATAACGCAGTAACACAGGTTTCACCTCTGAAACTAAAGTGACGACAACTGCTAGAATTAATGAATTCAATAAGGAATGTGATATTTCATTTCAAATTTATACTCATAATAATACACATTTGCGCCCCACAATTGTGAAAGAGGAATTAGATTGGGTTTTATATTTACACAACTCACATTTCTGTCTTATAAGAAGAAATAAAAAAGTTTGGGTATTAAAGAAATAGAAGATAATTATGAACAAGAATGGAAAACGTGTAGAGACGATAACGCAGTAACACAGGTTTCACCTCTGAAACTAAACGTGTTTTCAAGTATGAGTGATGGTGGGTTATTTGCTTGGGATTGTGAAACATATTCAGAAAGTGAAACGCGTAAAACAATACCTTATGCGTGTACGTTAATTATTTTAGAAAAACTAAGAAAAATGTTAGACAGAATAAATAATCCAGATTTTCAGATTTAAATCCTACAGATAATGTTCCAGAAGAATTTTATGATAAACTAATGAATATAGTAGAAATATTTGTAGGTACAGATTGTATAGATCAAATGTTGAAATATTTAGGTCAATATGATAGAAAGAGAATAATATTAATTTCTCATAACGGTAGCGGTTTTGATAACTGGATTGTGCTTAAAAATATAAAAAAAACTAACGCATTGTCCTTAAAAAAACACCCAGAGGAATTCTATCATTACCTTTTTCTAATCCATACACAGATGAAGATTTACAGAAAAAATGGAAAAGACAGAAAGAAATAACAAGCAATAATAATTAATTACAACATATTAATTTCACATGTTCCTATCAACATGAAACATCTAGTTTAGCGGCATGGGGTAATTCATCTAATCTACCAATGAATTTGAGAAAGATCACTGATATCAAGGTTGCATAATACTTTGAAGATAATTGGGAATCTTTAAGACGGGAATGGGAACCTTATGCAAAAAGAGATGTCTTGGACTGGAGCTTGTTTGATAAAATATAACCAAGTAACGAAAGAAGTTGTAAACCAGAATATGTCCAATAATCTAACGGCTCCAGCTTTATCTTTTAAGGGTTGGTATTATTTGTATCATTACGATAAAGAAATCGTTGAAGAAGAGTGGTATGAAACTACTAGAATGGTTCCGAAACATACAGACCGTTTCTACTAGAAGAAGAAAAAGAATTTGTAAAACTCTTCAATGAAAAGAAATTTAGACCAAGAACAGCTATTTTAACAGTGTGGTTTAAATATCCTACCAACACGTTCTTCCAACCAATACCAGCTAAAGATAAAATCACTTACACAAATAAAGAAGGACAAAAGGAAACTGACACTAAAATCAGGTTTAGAAATGGTTTCTGTTCAGATGTTTTAACATCGGTCAATATTCAAGAAATAGTTAAAGCCGGTGGTAAAAATCTAGGATATTAGATGTTATAGTATACGAAGAAAATTTTAAAACTCCACCATATAGAGATTATATTTTAATTTTGAGAGATCTAAGAAATAAATATAATCGAGAAGGTAATATGGTAGGTAGTAATTGCATGAAAATATTAGGTAATTCCTTATATGGTAAATCTATTCAGAAGGATAGAAACACGAGAAATCATTTGTGGAATGAAGCAACTTTTCAGGCTAACTTCGACTCACATGTTAAAAACTATGAAAAAATAAATGATACTCAATATTTCGTTGAGATAGAAATTGAAGAAAAAGAGATTACTGCTGAAGATCACCCAACTAAATCTACAGGACTCACAAATAGTCATTTAGGGTCATTCGTTTTATCTCAAAGTAAAAAAATAATGAATAATTTCATTCATGTAATAAATGGATTTTATAAACCTGAAATATACTATACCGATACTGATAGTTTATACATTTCATCTAGAAATTGGGATAAATTAAATCGAGCTGGGTTGGTATCTGAAAATGAATATTGTAAAGGCAAGAATAATTACGGTGATGGTGGAATCATATTTGGTTTATATTTAGCGCCAAAAGTTAAATACAATATCATTCTAACTTCTGATGGTGTTTTAAAAGAAAAGAAAAACGTTTAAGGGTTATTCTAATAATAAAACCCAATCTAATTAAATGTCTATTATTATGAGTATAAATTTGAAATGAAATATCACATTCCTTATTGAATTCATTAATTCTAGCAGTTGTCGTCACTCCTTTTCTATTTGCTTTTGATGAAATTTTGAAATTCATTTGTTAAATCTTTGTTTAAAACATAGTTTACACATTTGATAAAACAGCTACCATCTGTTGGTATGTAACAATTTTTACCTATATATTCATTTATTTTTTTGAGTAGTTCAGTTCCTCTTCCAACTTTTGATCTTTTAATTTCTTTAAAATTGCCTTTACGTAAAAGGATTCTTCCTGTAAAATACCAATCAGAAGCATCAGATTCTAAATCAATTCTAGAAAAGATTGTGTGAAAAGATTTACCATTGAAACCAACAATACGCATATCTTGTTTGTGTTTTCCATCTTGAAATATCTCTCCATCTATTTCAATTTGTCCTTTAAATGTTAAAAATTTATCAGAAATAATCTTGACAAAATTTGAAAATAACACGTTTTCTATGAATGTTTCATCATCATTAATTTCAATTGATTTATTCATATTTTTTATATATGCTTTTTTAATTATCTATTTTTAAAGTATTTTTTTTTACTTTTATTGCTGATATTTCCATCTCAAATTTATCTAGAATTTCATTGAATTTTTCTAGTTCTTCTATTGTTATGTTCTTATCTTCTCTTGATCTTTCTAAAAATATAAATAATTTATTAAGATAGGCATTTAAGATTTTTGTTTTCTTTTTATATTAAGATTTCTGTTTTGATGTATAACCTATAGCAATCAACCCACAAGATGAAGTTTGAATAGCAGTAATTGTGGCTAATACAGTTGGGATAAGTAGTGGAACCATTAATCCACCAGTTACAGCCGTTGCAACTGTTGTTCCTACTGTTAGAACTACACTCAGTGTTTTGAAAACAGAATCAACTCTAATCCATCTTTTCTTATATTTATTATATTGTTCTAGTTTTACTTTTAACTCGTTTTGTTTGTCTATCATATATTGTTGTCTACTTTCGAGTTCCATTTTTATGACATTAAATTAAGTGAATTTCTGATTTCTGGATATTGTTCAATATTTACAATAAACTGCCCTCTAATCTCTATACCTTGTATTATTTTTGTTTTATCTGTTATAATTACTTCGGGTTTAAAAATAGTAACTCTTACAGATACTTATGATATTTCTTCTTTCGAATTAATCTTATTCAGATGAATTGTAAATTTTGGTTTTTCAATATTAATGTCTATAATACATCTACAAGTATATATACCACCAACTTCTTTATTATGATGACGTTCAATTATTGATGAAAATATTATAAATTCTTTACCTCGTTGACTTTTGTGTAAATAAATTAGTATAATATCTTAGAGGGTATAAAAACTAGTATTAACAAAATATAGCTTTATATATTCAAAACGTATAACTCTTTATTGTATCTGTTTCTTGTGGAGTTGGATTTCTAATAATGTTTATCGATGGTGAGCTTTCCGTCTCTAATATCATATCAAAATCACCTATTGAAAGAACATCGTTGTCATTGTCTAATATTATTGACATTCTAAAGATGTCTAAATATTTTCTATTTGTTTTAATTTCATACATGTGATTAGGCTTGTTGTTTTCATCGTAAACTTCCAATTCTTTATTTTCAACATATTCACCATCTTTGATAAATTCGAAAATCTTACGAGCGTTTAAATAGTGAGATGGATGAGAGAAGAAGATTGAATCGATTTTAACTTTTACAGGAAAAAGAATTTCAATTAAAGCTTTACCTCGGAAAATAAACTTTCCCGAATCATCAAATATGTTTTTAATGTTTCCACTTATATATGAAAATACTTTTTTATTTTTAATATAAACATATCCTTCCAACTGATATTTTGTTTCACCTGTAGGAATGCGTTCAGTATTTCTCACAGCCAAAGCTGGAAGATTGAAATAATATGATTTTTTATTTTCTTTGAGTTTGTTTTCTAATGTGGTTATATTTTTTTCCTGTTTTAAAACTTCATTATTAATATTAGTTATCTGCTCACTATAATCAATATTTTCTATCTGTTGTTTAATATTTGTTAGTTCTTTTTGTAATTCAGTTTTAAATTTAGTTTCTAGAGCAGTTGATTCCTGTTGCCATTTGTCTTCACTTATACCTGGAATAATATTATCTATTAGTTGTTTAAAATCTATTTTTTGCTTTGCTATCTTCTCATCTAATTTAGATATTAATAAAGTCTTTGAATGGCATGTAGCAATTGTGAGTATGATATAGACACAGCTTTATGGAACAACAATCACTGGTTAAAGTTTTATGCAACGTTTCGACGTGTTTCCCCCGTCGTTCTCAGGCACATAATGAGAAGTGATGGGCAAACTATATATACATTAATGCTTATTATTAAGAACACACAAGAGATAAATGGTTTATTGATACATTACATTACATTAAATTAATAACGACTATTTCACTATTATCATTAAGTATAGATTCTAATGCGGCTTATTCATCTTCATTCATACCTGGAATAATATTATCTATTAATTGTTTAAGGTCTATTTTTTGTATTGCAATCTTATCATCTATTTTAGATATTAATGAAGTTAAACTTTGTAATTGAGTTTTATCTACTACATTAAGTAATTGTTGTTTAATACCAACTAGTTGTTTTTATATTTCACTATTATCAATAAGTTTAGTTTCTAATGTTGTTAATTTATCTTCACTTATACCTGGATTAATATTGGCTATTAGTTGTTTAAGATCTACTTTTTGTTTTGTAATCTTATCATTTAAATTAGATATTAATGAACTTAAAGTTAGTAATTGAGTTTTATCTACTATATTAAGTAATTGTTTCTTCAATAAAACTTTTCAAACTTGTTACTTCTTCTTGTAATTTAGTATCATCAATAAAATCTTTATTAATTAAATTTAATTGATCCATTAAATATTTCTTGTGAACAGCATCATAATCATTTTCTGGTAACTTTAAAGTAGTTATGGTAAAATTATTCATATCTAAATCACCTTGAAGCATGTCTCCAATTTGTTCCACAAAATAAGGTTTTGCTTTATTTATCCATGCTGTAGTGTTAGGTAAGGTAAAGAACCTAATCCAAATTTATTCGCCATTTTTATTAAGTTAAATTTATTACAATTTCTTCAAACTGTTTTCCTAAAGTTACTTGATATAAAACCCAAAGTGATAGTTGACCACAAAACTTTTTGTCCCGGTATTTGAATTTGAAATGTTGAAAATTTGATTGGTTGATTAGTCAATTGCATTAATTTCATTATCTCTTCAGTTGGTTCTAATCCAAAAGAATCGAAGAAATAAAAGTTATTTAAAGAGTCTTTGTATAAAGCAGTGATGAACTCCGTTTTGATCTGGAGTATGTATATTTGTTATCGCATAAAATTTACCTTTCTTATCCTTGAGATCATTTATTTCATCTCTCATACAATAATAAAACGGTGATATATTTAACTCATTCGCCCATCTCATAAGTTGAAAGTTCGTTTTGATAGAACCTATTTCTTCTTTGTCTTGATCGATTAATTCATATGTTGGAGGTGATGTGGTGTTTACTTTATCTACGATAAATATTTTATTGGTCCAAAATCTGACGTAGCCTTTTTCGAATTTGCTTTTATATTTGAAAATACGAACGCGATCTTCGACTTGGGTTTGATATTTAAATTGTTTATCTCATTTACATAGTTATGTTGCGCGTAATTGACTTTATAATATTTGGATTATTTGAGGCTTGTGTTGGTGTGACACCTATAGATGAATGCATTTTGTTATTGTATTTATCTACAACCTCTGGTAATATTTTAAGCCATTTTTGAGATTTCAATTCCGTGAACTTTTTGAATAATTTATTTTTTAGAGTTCTATTATATCTCTCAATAACTACGGCTTTACCTTAATTATGCGTACTGTAAATTTCAAATCCTAGAGATTTCATATTTTTGTTATAAAATTCACTTCCTTTATCTACCCATAACTGTTGAGGTCGTCTGTCAGATTGTTTCATTATTGTTTCAAATGCGTGTTTGACTGATAAACCTGTTTTGTTTTTGAGAGGAATAACCCAAGTATATCTTTTACAAATCTATAACGGTTAAACAATATTTATATCCTCTTTTAACAGGCATATTAATTAAATCTGCTGACCAAATTTCATCTGCTATTCCCATACCTATTTTCATCTTTGCTTTCAAGAGTTTTATAATCAGTGCTCATTGCATTCTCTCTTTGAAAGTTGGATTTGGAATATTTTCAAGTTCAATTATCATTTGTTTGTCTGCTTCGTGTCTGGGTGTTATGTCTTTATTTATGTATAAAATATCCTGTTTACGTTATTGACGGGTTCTTCACCTGGTTTTGGTTTATCGTTTTCGTCTAATCGTAGATCTAACCTTGTACCTGGACCAGTGTAATTATGACCGGGAAGATGTTTTTCTCCAGGATATTTTGCGCATGGAAATCCAGGAAGAGAACTTAATGATTTTTGAATGTCAGAACCGAAATAAGTTTTAGGAGTTTGAGCAATTATCATAGACATTTTTATCCAATAATTTTAAAACGATTGCCTTTTTTTATTTTCTAATCTTTTATTTCGCATTTGTCTTATATGTTGTAATTCTTTCAACTCGTTAGATTTTTTCACTGCTACGCTTATATTTACTCCTGCTTTTGCTATAGATCCAACAGCTTGCGCTTCTGAGGAAATGAGGGATTTGTTATTTGAGTTAAAGTTGGCTACTTTTGGGATGAGAGATGATAGAGCTGAGAATTTTTTTTGTTCGTGTTTTAAAATTAAACTCATTCTGTTTTTAAATGAGTTAATTTAATGAAGAAATCTATTGAGCAAAGAAGTATATGTATAAGGCCACCAACCCTCGGTTTTTGCTTCAAAAATTATAGTTTTTTAAGCATTAACACGACCGAAGGGAGTACTAGAGTATATGGATTTGGCGCAGTCCCTGGTTTTTAGTTGAAAACTACAGTTTTTTAAGTATTAACACCACCAAAGGAAGTGTTGATGCTTAAAAAACTGTAGTTTTCAATTAAAACCCAGGGACAGCGCCCAATCCATATACTCTAGTACTACTCAGATTGGGCATCATGTTTTCGCTTCATGTGTTCCTCATTTGTTTTGAAAAACTTCCTTATTTTTCTTTGGATGGCAAAAGGACAAAAGGTTCTTCTTTTAATCTGGGATGGTCTCTTCACAATATTCTTGATATAGACGAAATTGACAAAGTTTGATCCAAATAAAATCTTCTGGTTTCCTTGCGGGTGTAATGCGATTTTATTTTCGGTAAATTCTTATATGGTTCCGGACAACGTTTAAAGTTTCTTCACTTAACTTATTTCCAGGACATGCTTTGCACGACTATCAGAACCTCAAAATGCACCAGTTTCACCAATATTTTGAGGTGCCTTATCTATTGAACCATTGGACCACATTTTCGGCACACCCTTTTCTTTTCATTGGCAATTAGGAAATTATACAAAATTGTTTTTTCTCTCTTACGTTTACGTATTGTAACTTGACTACGGATTCTACTCTCTGCATCCCTAAATCGGGATCCTCTAG